CTTTGTGCATTTCAAGAACGCTGTCTCCTCAGCATTCTTTTCTGTCCCCCTCTTTCGCTGGCTTTTGCCCTTGAATCCATTTGCTTCTTCAGTTCCAAGGCCACAGCGCTCTAGACAGGAAACCCAAATCCTTGACAGTCAATCCACATGCCCAGAACCTTCTGTGACTTCAGTTCATCAGTCACCATGCTACCTCCTTGACTCCCCCCCCCCGCCCCATCTTTTATCTTTTTTCTTCTCCCACTCTGGTACAGCACATACTTCTGGTCTCTAGAACAGGCTTGGGGTGGGGATATGGGCAGAAGCAGGGGCGAGGTGGGGGCAGGGGCAGGGGCAGGGGCAGGCGTATGAGAGCCTAGCAGCTTTCGTCTAAGCAACCTGTCAAGGAGTGTGGGATATAGTTTCTGCTGTCCCGGAAGTGGTAATAAGAATAACATTTTCACATCTTCTGCATTCTCTTGTGAGAAGGAGTAATTTACTATGCAGAATTTCCAGTCTGTGTAAACAAACAGAATGTAAGCCATTTTTACTTATAGAACTCAGACACAAAATATGTGGAGATTTTTTTTTTATAAACAACTCCCCAGTTCAAGGAGGACACTGACCAAGTGTTTTGTAATTCACAATTGACACTAACTACCCAGAGTTAGCACAGAACCCCAAAGTCTAATAGTCTTGTTTGAGGACCTACCCACAAGTCCAGGCTGCTTCTAATTTATAAGTTTGAGGGTTTTGATGACTTTCTGCTTAGGGTTAATGATTTGCCTGAATGGGGTACAGAGCCTAGGAAAGTACATTATCATTACTGCTTCTTACTTGAGAAGAGTCCGGGGAAGCGATACATAGAAAAAATTATGGGGGGTGGTACACAGGCTCCCACCCTGACCAGCACCATTATGTGTTCGCTAGTCTGGACACTTTGCTAATCATACAGTTTTGGGGGTCCCAAAGGGGTTTCATTACATCAGCATTATTAGTTAAACCCTTTGTCATTGGCTACTAACTTGGTCTTCAGGCTTTCTTAACTCCCTGGAAGTCTGGGGGTGGGCTGGAACGTTGGACCCTTTCATAACCTCTTTACTTTTCTGGAGACCTCCCTGATCCTATCTAGGGGTCCCAACAACTCTCATTAGCATACAAAAACTATTTTTTTTTTATCAACCTGGAGACTCCAGAGGATTTTTAGGAGCTATATGCCAGAAATTGAGGACAAAGGCCAAATGTCTATTTCTTAGTACAGTAGCAATCCAATTTTTATTTGTGACATCCATGTCTCGTTGATAGTTCATTATTTTGAGTGCCTGGGCAGAATGTTTCAGACCCTGGGGCCCTGTGTGGGTATCCTGTCCCGACTTTGTGTCATCGCCTCACATATTTAGAGGGAGCCACACATGGTGTGTCCTCTGTCCCCATGTGCTGGGTTCCTCCATCAGTAGAAGTCCTTGGTCTCCCACAGGGGTTGAAGCAGTGACCCTGGTTTCCATATGGTGATAATAGTGGCTGAACCTGACGCCCTACGCCCTACGCCCCTTGCTCTCAAAATAAATTAAAGTTTCCACATCACACAACTCCGGGGATTCCTGTGTATTTCTGGTTCTATGTCAAAGGCCTGGACCCTGTTAGGTCCCACAGAATGTCATCTGCCCTGCATATGGCCTGGAGAATTGCCCCTGATTGGTTCCAGGGTATAATGTGGTGTGTGTGTGTGTGTGTGTGTGTGTGTGTGTGTGTGTGTGTGTGTGTTTGTAAGTTTATTTACTTTTAGTTTAAAGTGTTTTTCATAAAATATATTTGATCATATTTCCCCTCTCCCAGCCCTTCTCAGATCCTTCCCATTTCCCTACCCATCCAATGTCATTTCTCTCTCTTTCAAAGCAAGCAAACAAGCAAGCACACACAAAACAAAGGTAAAAACAAATGAACAAAAAACTAAAATATACAAATAAAAAGTAATACACAAAAGCCTTTGTGTTGTGTTGGCCACCTACTCTTGAGCATGAGGCCCTTCCCGAGCAAGGTGTGGTTGATCTACCCAGTGACACACCATTGGAGAAAACTGAGTTTCCCTTTGCCAGCGGGTCAATTGCAAGTAGCTTTGTGGCTAAGGGTGGAACCCTGTCCACTTCCCATCTCAGTGCCGGGACTCTATCTGGCTTGGACCTGTGCAGGTCTTGTGTGTGTGGCCACAGTCTCTGTGAGTTCCTGCATCCATCAGTCCTGCTGTGCCTTGGAAATGCTGATAGTGTTAACCATAGACACATAACCTACTTGGGCCTTTTTTCTTGGGCTCTACTTTTTGAAATCTGACTCTAGGAAATTGAAACTTCTGCAAACCAGAATCTGGTGGTTCTTCCCCTGGGAGATGTGGTCAGAACAAGTTCAGGATCGTCCCTGGGATACGGAGGGGCTGCCAATTAGTTAGCCCTCAATTCCATATATTTACAATTTTTTACATTGATTTACTTGTCATGTGTGTGTGGTTGTAGGTAGGGGGGTGTGCATATGCCATGGACATGTGTCTAGATCAGAGGACAACTCGAGGGGGTCACTTCTCTCCTTCCCCTATGTGGCTTTCCTGGGCAAACTCTTTTAGCTAGCTCAGTGGCAAGTGCCCTAACCTGCTTGCCCTTCTTTTATGTTTTAAACTCTGACTGGGCATCCACAATAACACCTTGCCCAAATACTTAATCAATATCTTTTTGCATTAAAACTAAATAAATCCACAGTGATAGTAGCATTGCTTAAGAGTAATAATTAGTACCCATCGTTTAAGAAAAGGCACAATGGGGGGTGGGGTGGGTGGAGGCCCATATGCGTGTGTAGAGGGCCATACATCTAGAGAGAAGGCTCTCTGATGAACATACAAATCCTAAATGCTAACCAGGATTAGGAAGGGTGCTTCTTACTCGTGGAGCACTTTGCAAATGTGTCCCCCCCCAATTCCCTCTGCCGCCTAAGCTGCATCTCAAATCATTCATTTCTGCCTAATTGTTTTCAACAAATCCCTGGTCTTGTGAGTGCCACAGGTGAACAAAATCTCAGTACTAAGTATCCTTGGAATACAGAGAGGTATAAAACAGCAACCCTGAAGTTACAATTTAATGGATTCTCTTATTCCTACCTGTACAATCTTAGGCAAATGACACAAGCCCTGTGCCTCAGTTTCTCTGCTTCTAAGATGGGCACAGCTATAGTAACTGCATGGAGTTTTGCTATGGGGAGGGAATCATTTAATAAGTATAAGCTACTTAAACTGTGTCCGGACATAGGAAGCACTTAATAAATATTACCTGTTGACCCAGGCAGACAGCAGAGTGAAGTGCAATCTGGTCACTGTCTAACCCTCCCCACCCATCCCAGCTCTGATGTCCCAGAGTTCTACTCACGGACAGTGCTGGCCATGACCGACGCTGGCTGGAGGGCCTGTGGGTGCTATCTGAAGGAGACTTAGAAGGGCTGCAAAATCTCAGGCTACTCCTTTGTTTTCTGTGTGTTTTGTTCTTAGTGGGACTCGGGTTCAGAGTCACAGGGGTTCAATGACATGATTAGGGTGAAGCAATGGCCCCTGTTAGAGTTAGGCGATTGGGGTGCCCTCCCACATCCAGGGGACTGTAGACTACCAGTCTTACACAGCACATTTCAAAAACTGAGAGGAAAGAATTTTTGAATGTTTTCACCATAAAGTGAAAGATAAATGTTTGTGTGAATATATTTAATTCATTTTATAGATGTACTGGATACATGTAAATATATTTAACTCATGTATCTATGTACCGAGAAGCCTCATAGCATTAATATGAATAATACTAGTTTTATATATTAAATAAATTTGAATTAAAAATTTAAATGGCTGTATCTAGTTAGATGGTGTCCATGCTTTATTTTCCTATGTTGTTCTCAAACCAACGCTTTCAAAACCCCAAGTTGTCTACCCACTCTGAGAAACTATATCTTTAGAAATACTCCTTTGGGGTTTCTACCCCACCAACTTCTTGAATGTTCTCTATTCTCAGTAACCGTGGCTGCAGTCCACTTATGGATTAAATTGCTTTTGGATAAGGCTTTCTAGTAAATTACCAATTACACTCTCCCAGGGAGGATCCAAGTCAAGGCTTGATTTTTATTGAGGTCAGCTCCATTGTTGTAGAAGAGATCAATTATTGTTATTTCAAGCCCAAACTCAACCCCAAACCCTACAGCTACCAATTACAGGTAACTCTGGCACCGAGAAGCGGACAACATCTCGAAATGATTGGATTATGGTTTCCACACTGTTCCCGGCACAGGAAGCGCATGCTTCCCCTCCCCACTTGCCCTGCAGGACCCCATCCAGGGCACACTTAGTCCCAGATTTCTGAAATAGGTGCCCCTTCCATCCCCGTTGAGAGGCTATAGTTCGTAAATATTGTGAGAAGTACAGAATGGAAAGGTTAAACCGGTACATTCTGGCTGGATAAGGATTAATTAGATGATTTGCGAGGACTATTATGCGTGTGCTAAATTTACTGACCTTTCTCCCTCCCTGTATAGAATGAAGCTCTGTGCTCGGTGCTCATTATCCTTAAATGTTTTCTTTTCTCTGTATCATCACCTCATTCATTTTATTTGGTCGTTTAAAAATGCACTAATTTGGAGCAGTAGGCTTCATTGATTCCCGAGAGTAGAACATCCAGTAGGCACAGCAATGCCAGCCTTAGGCACACTCTTTACGACCAAGGGGGGTTCATTGGCACTAAGATGTGGCTCCTGGTCAGGTTGGCCAGGGTCCCAACAGATACTCTCTCACTTCTCTGTGGGCAGCAGACACGTCGAAAGGCCCTACAAACAAGTTTTAAAGCCAGGCTTAAGTACTGGCTTGCCAGTTCTTGGCTGTTTAGGATCCGTGACTTTCTCTGTTGACTGGAATCGGTTGCCCATCTATTATATCGTGCCAGTCTTTGAACCAGTTGCTAGTATGGTGCAGTGTTGGGATTCTGGGGGTCAGCTCAGGGATTCCGGGGGTCAGCTCAGGGATTCCGGGGGTCAGCTCAGGGATTCCGGGAGTGCCTAACTCTGCTTTGCTTACATGTCCGTCCATTCCTACCGGCAAAACAAAGTAGAGAAGGTCGTCTCCCTTAGAGCCCCTCAGGTGCCCAAGGTGACAGACAAGAGCAGTTAAGAAGACACCGAGGTGGGAATGAGAAGCCGAAGCAGGAGGCAGTTTGACTAGATCATTCTGCTGGTGAACGCGGCTGTGTGTGTGTGTGTGTGTGAGAAATCGACATGGGAGCAGGCGGCGTTATGCAGTTCCTGGGCGCCCTTCTGCCCCAGTCATGGACGGCGGAGGATGAGAAGATGCCGTTGGCGGCCTCGAGAGGACAAAGTGAGGCAGAGCGGGTTCCTTGTTCTGCATCTTCTCTCTTCTCAGTCTTCCTGATGATCCATCCATCTTAGAAGCGGATGATTTGAGAAACAGAGTCTGAATTTCAAGGCAGAGGAAACAGCTCTTCTGATCACTGGGCAACATTCCTCCATTTGGCTTTGTGGAAATTCTGGCTTAAGAAAAGGATGAGGGAATAAGAGGAGATTTTTTTTTAAAAAGGACTTAATGAGAATTTATGTGTATTTACTTATTAAAAAATTGACATTAATTTAGTGTGTGTGTGTGTGTGTGTGTGTGTGTGTGTGTACCATGGTGTGCAACTGGGTCTGAGGACAACTTATGAATATTGGCTCTCTCCTTCTTCCTTGAAGGTTTCAAGGGTTGAATTCTCAGGTCATCAGACTTGCCTTCATGGGCCAACTCTGCCTGCCAACCCACTATTTTACTTTATTTTGAAGCAAGTTCCTATAGAGCCTAGTCTGGCCTCGAACTCACTCTGTAGCCAAGGATGTCCTTGACGTCCTGACCTTCCTGTCTCTGAGACCTCTGTTGTGCCAGGGTTATAAGTTTGAGCCACCATGCCCGGTTTACTCAGTGCTGGGCACCAAACCAGGACCTTGTGTATGCTCTATCTGGAGCTTTAACCCTTGCCCACGTCTTACTTATTTTTGTCTATGTGTGTGGATCCACTTGTGAGTCTGGGTGCACACAGGCATGGTGTGTGTGTGTGTGTGTGTGTGTGTGTGTGTGTGTGTGTGTGTGT